GCTCCGCGCGGGCGCTCTCTGGCTTGCCGCTGGAGCTCTTCAACAGCCCAACACTGGGGAGAGGGCACGGATTGCTATCGCTTTAAATGGTCGTTCGGCTCCCTCTCCACCTCCTCCTCCCACTCCCTCCCTCCTTCCCTCGCTAGCTCCTGGTCTATCCCCACCCTTCCCAGTGCCCGCCCTCCCCACTGGTTTGCATCATCACGCAGGGAGGGGCTGCGTGCTGAGAAAGGGGGGGACTGGGTGGGCGGCTGGCATGTGGGGGGTGGGGGGGGAGTGCCTGCGATTGGGAGTTTCTAGGTCCTCAGGGAATCTAGGGATTTCAGGTCGCAGGCTAGGGATTCTGGCCCCCATCTCTCTGTAGAAGCCTCTTGATCCTCGCCTGCACCCACACGCACCGGAGGCATCAGCCCCGGGATGGGAGTAGGATGTCTGGTGCTGACAGCTCCCGACCGGGAGTCCGGAGCCGGCTGTCAGCTCCGGGAGAATGGGAGTCTCGCAAGTGGTGGAGGGAAGGGCCAGGGAAAGACCGTCTCTACTGCTGATTCCTCCGTGCCAGTTTTTCTCAAGAAAAACGTACATACACACAGGAGCCTGATTCATGACTTACAGAGCCTTTACCCAGAGACTTCTCGGGCCAGGCACAGGCTCGCTGTAGGGGAAGATGCCAACAAGAACGTTAGGAATGGAAGGAAGTACATGCTTGGTCTTCAGGGTATCCTGGGGCCAGAGCCGGATGAACCAACCGAAGCAGCTCCTAAATCTGTGCTGGAAACGTCAGACTCTCCCTTTTTCTATTTCCCTGGCAAGAGATGGAAGGACTGAGAACTCTGCACAGCCCACTTCCTTCTCAGGTGCTGACAGGTGTAAGGCTCCCTCCTACCCGTTTCCAGAGACGCCTCTGGCTGGTGACAGGTTCTGGAGGGCAGGAAAGGCAGAAAGGTGGGCCAGTAGGAGGAAGAAAGCCAGGCAGACAGAAGTCTCCTCAGTGATTCCGGATGCCTTTCTCTCCAAATCAGGAGGCCAGAGCAGGTTGCAGGACAATTAAGAAGCTCTTTTTCAAAGGTGTCCCTGCAAGCCCAGCGCAAACTTGGTCATTAAAGCAACAAGTGGCCCTAGTTCCTATATAAGGAAAGGTGATGTCTCTGTCCTTGGGGACCAGAGTGCACGGAGGCAGGCTAACCCAGCTCTTCACGAGGCTGTGTTGGAGTGCAGCAAAGCTCTATTGCACAGATTTGGGGTGAGAGAAAACCAGAACCAAGGCTGGACCTTGTTTTGTTGTTAATCCTCACTCTGAGGAGAATATTTTTCCATTGATTTTTTTTTAAGAGAGAGAGTGGAAGGGAGAGACGAGAAAGAAACATCAATGTGAAGGGGCACATTGATTGGTTGCCTTCTGCACATGTCCTAACCAGGCTGGGGATCAAGCTTGCAACCGAGGTACATGCCCTTGTCTGGAATCGAACCCTGGACCCTTCAGTTCTTGGGCTGATGCTTTGTCCACTGAGCCAAACCAGCTAGGGCAAGACTATACTTTTTGTTGCTCTTGTTAATGTACTAAAGAAAGATGACCTTGTACAACACACACACACACACACACACACACGCACACACACACAGACACACATGCACACACGCACACACACACATACACACACATATATACACACACAGAGACACATACCCACATACACACAGACACACACATATACACACATACAGACACACATATGCACACACACACATACACACACATACACACATACACACATACACACACACACACACACACACACACACACACCAGAAAGTCAGTACACAGGTACCTCTGCCACGAACCACCTGTGTAACTACCTGGCATTTCTGTCCCTCCGTATGGGTTTTAGTTTCCCCGTCTGTAAAATGATGAGATTGAATTGTTTGCTCTCCAAGTGGTATTTTAACTCCCAAATCCTCTGTTAAAATAGGCCATGTGCCTTTGGCCCTGGTGCTCTTTTTAAGCCAATATACTCTTTTGCTTTATATTTAGGAAACCAACGCTGCGATACCCAAAGAACATTACAAACATTTCCTGGTATAGAGGACTTTTTTTTTCTTGCCCACCATCTATTCCTCTTTTTTCTAAGGACAGTCGAGACGGTCAATTTCTTTTTGGATATGCCCTTTCTCCATGTTTCAATATTTAAGGTTTGAGAAAAATAGAAGCCACTTCCCACAATCCAGACTTGGCTGGTCAAAGGATGGGGTCCTTTGAACTATAGTGATGATGAGATTAAGGATGAGACTGGAACTTCCCAAAAACCATCCAGGCCTTTCTGAAGTAACTCCTGTCTTAACACAGGGTTACCACTATCCAAGAGACGATCTGTGCGTGAGTTAGGGGGGAAAGCCCCGCCCCCCACCCCAAGCCTCAAAACACTTTATCTTTTGGAAAATGTAGTATTCTGATTTTATAAGAACAGCATTTTACCGCTATCTTCAAGACAACAGTGCTGTAATTAATATGCTAATCTACCATGTGTACAATGTGGTTATCAATCACTTTTAGGTGGGATGTTCGGCTACATAGTGCACGCTTTGTACAACCTTATGCTGTGATGGCCCCAGCTCCTTCCTGCTGGTCCGGGAGCTCAGTAAGAGGATAAGAAGCCTGTAGCTGTGCCAGGAGCCTCCACATAGATGGGGGATATTTTAATCTCATAATAAGAGATACAAGAGAGGAAAAAGGAAGAGGGAAGGAGGGATGGGGGCAGAGATAAGTAGAGGCCTGATGAAAAGATTTGAATTCCTGTGATTCAGCCTTGCCTGAAAGATTGCCTCTAGATTTTTTCCAATTACATACTATTTTTTTTCTCTTGTTCAAAAACAAAAAGTTCCTCTTTTAATTCATTTGTTCCAATACACCAGATCAAAAAGGGTGGAACAGCTGGAATAGATACTGTTTGAGGTAGCATCAGCTAATTTGGAAAGATAAAAAAAAGCAAACAGAGTAATAGAAAGGTATACTTGGAAACACAAGTACTATGATCCTATTATTTAGGCATCGGTTCTTCAGGTTGTATTTGACAGAGACTAGATGGTTATTAAGTTTTAAATTTAAAGTTGTTTATTAGGAACTTGGTGACAAAAAATATTTGGAGAGCTGGTAGCAAGTAATGTCACTTGATCTTTTTTTACCTGCTCATGCCTGGACCCATGTTCTACTCCTCCGTTTTCTTTTCTTTTTTAACATATATTTTTATTGATTTCAGAGAGGAAGGGAGAGGGAGAAAGAGAAACATCAATGATGAGAATGAATCATTGATTGGCTGCCTCCTGCACGCCCCACACTGGGGATCAAGCCCGCAACCCGGGCATGTGCCCTGACAGAATAGGACCGCGACCTCCTGGTTCATAGGTCTGTGCTCAGCCATGCCGGCCGGGCTGCTTCTCCATTTTCATTTCATGTCTTGTGACTGCTCAATAAATATATCTTGGCTGACTATTAAATGCTGCCTTATTCTGTGTTCTCTCTAAGCCCTGATCTTTCTCCCCAAACATCTGGCAGCAGTCATTATCTTCTCACTGCAGTCACCTGTGTGCATGTCTTGTTTCCCGAGCCAGGTTGTAAGGTTCTTGAGGGTAAGGGCTGCGTATTATTTGTCTTTTCTCCCGGACAGGAATGTTTAGAATGGTGTTTTATACATAAGAAGCACTCATGCGTTCCACGAATCAGAATTGGTTTTGCCATTCCCCACTGTCTTCATTCGACAGTGACTGAAATATAAAGTGGCAGAGCAGAAGTGATGGCAGATAAATTGCTGTCCTCTTAGTCACAGTATGCAGTTTCTAGAACGTAAAGGATGATTAGTGGGCTTACGAGTAATTTTGTTTTACATAATTTGCATAAGATTTGAACACTCTAACCTTAAAGCTCTCAATCAACTTTAATTGGAAGGCTCCCATCAGTTCTTCATGACTCCAGTGTCCATTCATGGACCAATACCTGGGGCCACTGCCATAGCCTGGCTGAGGAAGGACAGAAGCCAGGCACCGGCACCACCTGAACCAAACGGAATGAGTGATCTGTTACCAGATAAATGGAAAAATGATGCATAGGATCTGGAACTCAATAGGTGACATAGTATTTTTTTTTGAGAGTATATGAATGGAAATTCTTTGTGTAAAAATGGCTAACCCAAAACTGGGTCAGTCGTTGTTCTAGTGTTATATTGAATTGGAGAAGAATCTAGTTTTAGACACAAAGATGATACTTTATAAAATGTGATCACAGGTTTGATTCTGTGTAGTCAGTAATCTGTCCTTATGAAGGAATTAATGAAATGCATAGCTAAAGTTAAGGGCTCAGTCCTAACTTATATTCTTAGTGTTGCATTTTCTTAATCATCTCAGTTTTATTTATTTTCTTTGTTGTTTTCCACTGCCCATCATCTTCTGCAGAAAATGTCTCAATTTCCAGTTTATAATACAAAGTTGTCCTCCTTTGCTGCTGCGATCCCTGTTGCTAATATGCTCCAGCTACTCTTCCATCCTTCATGTAGGTTTCTATCCATAGCTTCCTCCTCCTCCACCCCCACACTCTTACCTTTGATTTGCACTACTGAGTGGAGGTCACTTTTTCTTGGAGAGACAGCAAGAGAAAATATTTTCTAGTTCACCTGTCATGATTTCCTGTCGTATTTATTTGTAGCAGACATCTTGTGCCACTCACCCAGCATCTATTTCCTGGTCCCATCTTATGAAAAAAACAAACAAACAAAACCCCTGTAATTCTCTACATCCTCTAAGTTGGCAG